AGATAGAACATGTACTTTCCATAATACTGCACACCCAGTTTCCCTCATGTGAACATCTTACAATGGTACATTTGCCACAATTATAAACGGATACTGATATATTATTATTGTCTACAGTTCATACTTCAGTAGTTTTGCTTTGATTTTACCTAAAGTTCTTTATCTCCTGCAGAGTCCCACAAGGAAACCACAGTACTGTTAATTTTCATATCTCTTCAGGCTCCTGTTGGCTATGACAATTTCTCATATTTTTCTTCTTTTTTTAAATGTTTTTTTAATTTAAATTTTATTTTATTTATTTCTTATAAACTTTTAAAATGTTTATTATTTATTTTTGAGAGACGGAGATAGAGCATGAGTGGGGGAGTGGCAGAGAGAGAGGGAGACCCAAATCTTGGCTCTGAGCTGACAGCACAGAACTGAATGCAGCACTTGAAGCCACAAACTGTGGGATTATGACCTGAGCCAAAGTTGGGCACTTAACCAACTGAGCCACACAGGCACCCTAAAGTTTATTTTATTTTAGAGAGAAAAAGGGCAATGAGCAGGGGACAGAGACCGAGATAAACAGAGAGACAGAGATAGAGAACATTTCAAATAGGCTCCACGTTCAGTGTTGAGCCCAATGCAGGGCTGATTCCCACAATTCTGAGATCATGACCAGAGCCAAAATCAAGAGTTGGATGCTCAACCAAATGAGTGAGCCACCCAGGCGCTCCTTATTTTTCTTATTTTTGATGACCTTGACAATTTTTAAGAGTATTAGTTACATGTTTTGCAAAACGTCTCTCAGTTGGGATATTTCTGATGATTTCCTCATGATTAGACTTGGACAATGGGTTTGGGGGAGGAAGATCACAGAAGTAAAGTGCCATTTCTCATCACATAATATCAAGGGGACATGGTATCAATATGACTTATCTCTATTGATGTTCACCATGATCACTGAGCGAAGCTGGTGTTTGCCAGGTTTCTCCACTGTTGCTCTTTTTTATTTTTTTAGAATAATTTATTGATTTATTTCAAGAGAGAGAAGGAGAGTGAGCAGGGGAGGTACAGAGAGGTAGGGAGATAGAGAATCCCAAGCAGGCTCTGCACTGACAGTGCAGGGCTCAATCACACAAACTGTGAGATTATGACCTGAGCCAAAATCAAGAGTCAGATGCTTAATAGACTGAGTCACCCAGGTGCCCCAATCCACTATTGCTCTTTTGTCACCATTTTCATACTGTCCCTTTTGGAAGGAAGTCACTATGTGCAGCCCACACTTGAGGAGTGGGAAATGTAGAGTATCCATATAAATTATTTAGAATTCAAAGCATTGGAAGTTTGTTCTACCTAATTATTAATTAATAAATTAATTCAATAACTTATTTATATCAGTGATTCTTGAATACTTATTTTATGCCTTGAGTTATTGCTCAACACAATTTTCTTGCTTAAATTGTTTCCAGCTTTGGCCACAGGAGCTTTTTTAGTTGACTGATGTCCCCTAGCATAGCCCCATCATAGGTGATGGTGGTTCTTTTTTTTCTTTTTTTGAACACTTTAAGGTACTTCAGATTTATCTGCCATATTCCCTGTACTAGCCCTTGAATCAGCCATTTCTCCAAAGAACACTGGTTCCTTGTACTGAATAATGGTATTAGAAACCAAGACAGGAGATCTAGGTAGGCTCATTGCTTGTGGGATCTCCTCAGAAACATCAAAGATATGACCTAGATTTTGAGAAATAGTGACTTCAAAAAGTAAAAATGGGGAGGAAACATATTTCCAGAGAAGCAGCTAGCACGAGCAGGATTTGGGATTTGGGAAAAGCACAGTCTCATAAGGAATCCAGAAGTCTTAAGCAAACAAGATTCTTTGGAGGGACACAGTCAGGAGATTAATCTGGCAGCACTAAGCAAGGTGACTCTGAGCAGGAAGAGTCTGTAAGGGGAGAGAACAGTTAAATGTTCAGTGTAATAACAAGTACAATGTTACATTTGTCCCTCTTGCTTATGATGAGGGAGGAAAGGGCTGAACAACTGATCTAATCTGAATAGTCTGAGGAGTTGTAACCTGTCTCACCTTCAGCAAGCCAGGAGTTTAAAGAAGTAATATTAAAGTACTTTGTTTGGTTAATTCGGTTAACCCAATATTGTCTTTATTATTCTTTTAGTTAGGTCTCTTTTGATTGCAAGTGATAGAAAACCCAACTCAAAATAATTTATTAAAAAGAGAGAAATTAAGTGTGTTGCATTTTTGGTGTCTTCCCTGTATCCCTTTGTGCTTAAGACTTGAGTGCACACAGCCCCCTTCCCCTGACCAGAACTTGGGTTTCTTTGCCTAAGGGCTTTCTCTTACTGCACAGCTGCTTAGCAGACATAAGTGCAGGGGGATCATCACTCATATCCCTGGGCGCTGTCCTCCCCCTGTGACACACAGGATTTGGGGTATCAGCACCTTAGCTCCTCTGACCCTCAGATGGGACAAGTTGAGACAAGTGTCTCCCATGGGTTGTCAGAAATTCCCTAGTAAGATGAAATTCTGGTGCTCAATAGTGGCATTTGGCTTGAGAATACACAGGCCCTGATTGAAGGATTGATTGATTGATTTTTTTTTCATTTTTAAAGTTTAAAATTTAAAGTTAGTGAATTACAGTACAATATTGGTTTCTAGAGTACAATTCAATGATTCATCACTTCCATACAACATCCAGGGCACATCCAAACAAGTGCTATCATTAATGCCCAGCACCCATCCACCTCCCTTCATCAACCCTTAGTTGGCTCTCTATCATTTAGAGTCTGTTACGGTTTATTCCTCTCTCTCCTTTTTTCTTTTACCCCCTTCCCATATGTTCATCTGTTTTCTTTCTTAAATTCCAGATATGAATGAGATCGATGGCATTTGTCTTTGTCTGATTGACTTATTTCACTTAACATAATACATTCTAGCTCCATGTCATTGCAAATGACAAGATTTCATTCTTTTGATCTGAGTAATATTCCATTATATATATATCACCTCTCCTATACCCATTCTTCACTCGATGGACATTGGACATTTGGGCTCTTTCCATGGACTGACTATTGTGATAATGCTGCTATAACCATCGGGGTCCAGGTATCCCTTTAAATCTATATTTTTGTATCCTTTGGGTAAATACACAGTAATGCAATTACTGGATCATAGGGTAGTTCTATTTTTAACTTTTGGGGAACCTCTATATTGTTCTCTAGAGTAGCTGCACCAGTTTGCATTCCCACCTAAAGTGCAAGAGGGCTCCCCTTTTTCCACATCCTTGCCAACACCTGTTATTTCTTGTGTTGTTAATTTTAGCCATTCAGACAGGTGTGAAGTGGTATCTCATTGTGGTTTGATTTCTATTTCCTTGATGATGAGTGATGTTGAGCATCTTTTCATGTGTTTGTTAGCCATCTGGATGTCCTCATTGGAAAAGTGCCTATGCATGTCTTCTGCTCATTTCTTAACTGGATTATTTGTTTTTTGGGTGTTGATTAAGTTCTTTATAGATTTTGGATACCAACCTTTTATCAGGTAGGTTTTTTGCAAATATCTTCTTTTATTCCATAGATGTCGTTGATTGTTTCCTTTCCTGTGCAGAAGCTTATTATCTTGATGAGGTCCCAAAGGTTCATATTTGGTTTTGTTTTCCTGCATCTGGAAATGTGTCCAGTAAGAAGTTGCCATGGCTGAGGTCAGAGAGGTTTCTCCTTGTATTCTCCTGTCATATTTTGATGGTTTCCTATCTCACATTTAGGTCTTTCATCCATTTTGAATTTATTTTGAGTATGGTCCAGAAAGTGATCCAATTTCATTCTTCTGCATGTTGCATCCAGTTTTTCCAATACCATTTGTTGAAGAGACTGTCTTTTTTCATTGGATATTCTTTCCTGCTATGTCAAAGGTAATTGACCATATAGTGCTGGGTGCATTTCTGGATTCTTTATTCTGTTCCATTGATCCATATTTTTGTACCAGTACCATACTGTCCAGATGACTACAGGTTTGTAAAATTGCTTGAAGTCCATAATAGTGAGACCTCCACTTTGCTTTTCTTTTTCAGGATTGCATAGCTACTTAGGGTTTCTTGTGACCCACACAAATTTTAGGATTGTTTGTTCTAACAGTATAAAAAATGCTGGTGGTATTTTGATAGGGATTGCATTAAAACACATGCCCTTCACTGGCTGACTTCCCCTCTTGTCACTGTTCCCACTGCCCCTACTTTACATCCTGGGATCATCTCCCAACTAAACCACTTGTACTTGAATCCTTATTTTCTTCTGGAGGAACACAAACCAAAACAGTTGGGGTGTACAACAGAAAAATCCAAGTAGATCTTTAATCACTGCAAAGTCCAGACCTCAAACAATGTTAAAGGGGTCTCAGTTTCATTCTCTCTCTTTTCAGGATCATGCTCTTCATTTGTGGTGGGAAGTGGGCTGCGGGCAGCTCTACAGTTATATCCTAGCTTCTTACCTCCCCAGCTGGATTTCCAAGAGTTTCATATTAAGTTTTGGTATGTAGACTTGGGTCAGGTACCCATCCTTGAAAGAGTCATTGTGGTCAGAGGTCAATTGTGTTAATTAGCCAGGGTGTCGAAGGCTGGAGTCAGCCTCACCTAAACACAGATATGGAGTAGGAGGAGGCATGGACTGGTTATCCAGGAAAAATCCAGGTGTGGCCACCAGAAAAGAGGGGATGGCTGTTGGGCAGCAGAAGAGACAGGTGCATATCTTGATCAGCTATGTGATTCCGAGGTGAAAATGGTCTTGAGGCTGGGATCTTGTAACCACAACTCTTCCTTTGATACCAGATGTGGGAAAATTGTTGTTAGAACATTCATCAGCTTCCTCTCTAGATCCACCAGTGCCACCCACCCTGCCTTCTGTTTCCTTTTCCTGGTCTGTGGGTTGTTTCTCCTAAGCTTCTGGAGCAGGTGGCTGTTTCATGCTGAGCTAGGGGGTTTTTGTAAGGCTCTCCCTGTCACTCTTCTCATTGTGGAACTTCGCCAACAGCACAGAAATAGGTGCCTGAGTCTGTAGGCATCAAGCCTGTGATGGTGAGACTTATGGCTTTGTTTCCTCTCTGATGTGACACAGAATATCGTCCTTCCTTACTGTTTGTACTACTAGAATAAAGATAGATGATTTCAGTCATCTTTCCATTGGGAAGCTGTCGAAACCAGCTCATCACATAGTAGTTATAGTTGAGTGTAAAACTACAATGCAAGGTCACGGTTTCTCCTTCTTGTTTGGACACTGAACTTGGAGACTGAGTGACACTCTGCGTATTGCTGAAACCTGTAGAAAAGAAGAAAAAAGCAGCTTAGCTGTTGTCATATCTCCCAAGAAGGCTGTCACAAATAGCCAGGTTTTCACCCAGAAAACAAAGTGGAAAAGGCACAGTCAAGTTCTCTTCTAACTTCTTTCCCAACCCCCCACCCTCGGGCCCTGGCTGTGGGGGTGGTGGGCTCCTTACCAAAGAGGATGAAGGCCACCACTGTGCACAGGAGAGCGGGCACTCCGGACTGCATCCTGGGGGCCCTTCCACTGGTGAAATGGCTCTGGTTCTGCCTGCCACCTGCCAGGCCCGTTGCAGTGTCACTGGAGCTGGGTGGCTCTGTGGCTTTGCCTCTATAGAGCTGGCAGTGGGCCTTCTGCACACGTCACTTTGTCACACTTCCTGCTGTCTGTGTCTGCGTCCTGCCTCTTCCTCCAGGCCTCTCTTGTCTGACTGATCGATAACATGTCGTGTGGTTTATCATGAAAGAAAACTTGTCCAATGTGGACATAACCAAAAGGGAGAAGTAGACAAAAAATCCAACCTTAATCTCATTACCCAGAGATAAATGCCGTTAACATTTTACTGTATTTCTTTCAGTATTTTTTATTGTAAATATGCATACAGTAATGGGATTGGGATCAAATTAAAAAATCTTTTTTGTGTTTAACGTTATATGTATGAATATGCCACTATGTCTTTCAACTGTATATGGAATGTGATTTTTACAGCTTCATACTACTCTGCTGTGTAAGTGCAAGTTAATATATTTGAACATCACTGTTTGACATTGTTTAGTTTCCTCTTTTGACTGTTTTAAATAAAAATCGATGGGTATTATAAATATAAGTCTTCGCATATCTGAAAATTTATTTGTATTTAACTATGTTATTTGAAGTTTTTAATTACGGAAAATTCAAACATCTACCCAAGAAAGAATAGTGCAATGAAAGAGCATGTATTCATTGTCCAGATTCCACAAGTATCAAGTTATGGCCAATGTTGTTCATCTACACCCTCATCCCCTTCCACATCTATACCTCTTCAGGTTCTGGTTAGATTAAAGCAAATCCAGACATCATGGGTTGTGTACTTTACTCGGGAGACACTTAAGTTCAGATTGTCTTGTGTGTGTGTGTGTGCATGTGCACACGCACGCACATTTTCAGTGACTGTTGTTGATAAGCAATGACTAGATCTATTGTTTTATTAGGAGTTGGTTTACAAAATGATGATATTATAATTATATCATTTCTACTTCACTAATCAACTGTAGTATTTCTACTAAGATAATTTTTCCTTGTCAAATATTTGACCAACTTTGAGGTTAAGTGCAGGATTTTTTCCATTCATTTTATCAGTTTTCAGGATAATGAGCCAATTCCCCTCTAGGGTGACCAAACCATCCCTGCTTGCCTGAGATGGAGGTGTTTCTCAGGACAAACACCAAAAGCAAATTCCAGGCAACCAGGATACATCCCCAAAAGTAATTAAGGAGGATTCTTCTATGAACATTTATGGATTTAAAAACATACTTGATGTGTTTCAGTTGATTGGATTCATGGTCTCAGTGATGTGGGCATGGTCCCATCTGTACCAGGGGAAATCTTTTCAGGCTGGCTCCTGAGTCATTGTGACATGGCTTCTGTAACCTGTGCAGGCTTCCTCGTTTTCTGGGAGGAGATGATATTCTATGCCCATTTATACACTTTCCCCCCAGCGATGGAATCAACTCTCTGTGATTAATGATAGATGTGTTTTCTCCTTCCAGTTCTAACATTTTTCTTATTTTACTGCAGTCAGTAAGACGTTTAGTGAAATACAGTTTAGAAAGAATACTATTGGAAATTTTTGACTTTTTCAAAATTATAAGGGAATGCTTTTAACATCTCCCGTCATAAAACAAATTCAAAGATTCCCTTGGTCAGGTTAAGGAAGTTCCCTTTTCTTCCTAGTTTGTGAAGAGATTTTAATGAGAAATAATGTTAGATTTGACCGATGACTTTTCTGCATTTAGCGAGAGAATTTTATAGTTAATATCACTTATGTTGTACTAATATTAAAATTTCCTCATACTCCCGAGATGAATCCTAAATGATCATAGTGTGTTAGCATTACTTTTTAATATCCAATGCTGGTTTGATAATATTTTTAGGAGCTGTCCTTGCTTTTCATAAGTAATGTTGGTCTATAATTTTCATTCATCATCTATATTTGTTTATTTAAGTCGTTGTGGTCCTCTTGGTCTCATAAAATGTGTTGAGTAGTAGTGTTGCTATTTTTATTTTTCTCAGTACAGGTATGGGAATTATTGGCTTGGATACGTTGTAACTTGCCTGTGAAACCATATGTATCTATAGAGATTTAAATTTCTTTAATGCGCATTTAATTCAAGTTTTCATTTTTCTTTTCAGTTTTACTGTACGATAATTTTTAGAAAGTTTTACATTTTGTTCAAGTTTTCACATTAGTTTGTATGGATTTATTCCTTGCATGTTCTTATAATTATTAAATTTTTACTGTGTCTATAGTTATGATTTCCCTTTATATCATATTTTTTTGTCTTCTTAATTTCCTTGATAAATCTTATAAGAGATTTGCCCATGTTTTAATTCTTTTCAAACCATTTTTAATGGATTCTTTCCTTTGGTTCTTTGTCTTTATTACCTTAATTAATGTTTTTGTCCTTCTACTTTTGTTTACTCTTACTCTTTTAAAATTTCTGTTTGAATATTTAGGTCATTATGTTCAATCTTTTAGTTTTTATATATTTTTAAGGTATAAAAAGTTCTCTGTGTGCTGCTTAGGTTCATTGCTCAAGTTTAAAATTTACACCTTTCATGATTGTTCAGTTAAATATTTTAACAATCTGTTATAATTTATTTTCTGGTTTATAGATAATTTTATTTTTTTAAACTGAATAATTTATTTTGAGTAAGAGAGAGAAAGTGGGAGAGGAGTAGAAAGAGAGGGAGAGAGAATCCCAAGCAGTCTCCTCATTGTCAGTGCAGAGCCTGACACAGGGGGCTCAAACTCGTGAACTTGAGCCAAAATCATGACCTGAGATTATAACCTGAGTTGAAATCCAGAGTCAGACACTTAGCTGACTGAGCCACTCAGGTGCCTCTTGTTCATAAATTATTTAGGAGTGGATTTCTTTTTATTTAAAGTTGGCTTTTACCAATAGTATCTAACATTATTCATTGTAGTAAAAACACATGATCTGTATAATATTGATTCTTGAATAATTATTGAAATTTGCTTTTTGTGGTCAATATTTATGATTATATCTTCTTTTAATATTTTGTAACATTTCTTTATTTTTGATAGACAGAGAGAGACAGAGCTAAAGTGGAGAAGAGGCAGAGAGAGAAAGAGACACAGATTCGAAGCAGGTGCCAGGCACTGAGCTGTCAGCACAGAGCCCTACATGGGACTGGAACCCACACATGATGGGATCATGACCTGAGCCTAAGTCTGACACAACCAACTGAGCCACCCAGCAACTGCTATTTCTGATTCTTTTTCTTTCTTTCTTTCTTTCTTTCTTTCTTTCTTTCTTTCTTTCTTTTCTTTCTAAATTTTTAAAAATGTTTATTTATTTTGAGAGAGAAACAGACAGAGCACGAGTGGGGGAGGAGTGGAGAGAGAGAGGGAGACACAGAATCTGAAGCAGACTAGAAGCTCCAGGCTTCAAGCTGTCAGCATACAGCCCAATGTGGGGCTCGAACCCACAAATGGTGAGATCCTGACCTGAGCCAAAGTTGGACACGTAACCAACTGAACCACCCAGGTGCCCCTATTTCTGATTATTTCTTAAGCTTAAATTTCTGAATATAGAATTGTTGAGTGAAGTAATCTTTTATATATATTAACAAATTACCCTTCCAATGACTGTACAAAATGACATTTCTATAGTGTTCTTAAGAGTTTTGTTGGGGCGCCTGGGTGGCTCAGTCGGTTGAGCGTCCGACTTCGGCTCAGGTCGTGATCTCACGGTTTGTGGGTTCGAGCCCCGCCTCTGGCTCTGTATTGACAGCTAGCTCAGAGCCTGGAGCCTGTTTCAGATTCTGTGTCTCCCTCTTTCTCTTACTCTCCCCTGCTCACACTGTCCTTCTGTCTCAGAAATAAATAAAACATTTAAAAAAATTTAAAAAAAGAGTTTTGTTTTATGACATCAGCATCTAATTATTTTAAAAAAATATTTAGCAATTTGTAGAGAAAAAATATTATTTGCATCTAATTATTTAAAAAATATATTTAGCAATTTGTAGAGAAAAAATATTATTTCCTTGTTTTATAATGCATTTTTTATCATGAGGTTGGAATCTTTTCATATTTGTGCTTGTTTTTTTAATTTGGAGATTATTTGTTCATACCCATTGCATTTTTAAAAATTGGTATCATTTTTCTCTAATTTCTTTGTAAAAATGCTTTGTTTTTTTAAGGAAATTAAACAAGTTTTCTCATAAAAGATCATTGTCCAAGAGTCCACTACGACTCTTAACCAGATAGGTAGGCAGCTGAATGTTTACTTTGACATTTCCTGAGTTCCTTGAACTAATCATGTAGTTCAACCCCAACCCCACAACTCACCATTACCCTCATATATCTTAATATACAAATCAGAAAAGATCCATGGCCTTTATCCATGTTGTTTCTGAGAAATATTTCAGAAAACCCTGAGGTCCTGGCTGCTGGAATTGTCATTCCAAAGAAGTCAAAGATGATATGAGTACCAATGGGTACATGTAAAGGTTAGGGTGACCTGCTCAAGATAAGTAACAACTTCTTCTGACCAAGTTATTCTTCTGATAGGGGTTTGTTATAAAGGATGAATCTTTATAACCATTGTTGTAAAGTGCATCTTACCCAAGGACATGATAAAGAAATGGGGAGCTTCTCACAATGAAGAGGTGTACAAGCCTGGGAGTGGGTAGAAGACAGGCTTTAGGAAAATTGCACTTGCAGGAGAAGAAAAGAGTTGCTCACAGAGTTTCCTCAAGTTTAGGAGACTTTTAAAGAGATTCATACTCAATTACCTCAGTAGTATTCAAGCTTCTAATTTTCAGCTTCTTCTTTTTTTTTTTTTTTTTATCCTACGCTCAAGCCTCTCACCTGTCCCAGATAGTGTTAGCTTGTTCTCATTGTTCTGAAAGTTGTGTTAGTGGGCAAGAGTGCCCCCTGGAGGCCAGACTGAGGAGCAACCTCCTTAAAGTATTCTAGGCCAGTGGTTCTCCAGTAGTTCCTCATTCATTAGAATGAATTTAGGAGTTGTAACAAAAAGTGCTCAGTCCTGAGCACTGAGGCCCCTGGGGATGGGGGCAC